TATGTATGTGTGTGTGTGTCGCGCGCGCGCGCGCGCGCGCGCGCGCGCGCGCGCGCATATATATATATATATATATATATATATATATATATATATATATATATATATATATATATATATATATATATATATATATATATATATATATATATATATATATATATATATATAATATATATACATCTATATATATATATATATATATATATATATATATATATATATATATATATATATATATATATATATATATATATATATATATATATATATATATATATATATATATATATATATATATACACTTTAAAAAACTTATAAAAAAAACACTTTTAAAAATAGTTTTTTTTAAAGTGGAAAGTATATTTAAAAAACTTAATTTTTTTTAAATACGTAATTTTTTTCTTAATACTTAAATATAAATATATATATATATATATATATATATATATATATATATATATATATATATATATATATATATAGAGAGAGAGAGAGAGAGATAGGAAATTAATTTTTTTTTTTTTTTTTAAAACCGGTTCAAACGGTTAGAACCGCGGTTCTAACCGTTGGTTCCCGGTTCCAAAAATGAGGAACCGGAACCGAACCGGTTTTTTCGGTTCCGGTTCCGGTTCCGGTCAAACCGGTTCCGGTTCGGTTCTAAAACCGTTGACCCCGGTTCGGTTCCGGTTCCGGTTCCGGTTCTAACCAAACCGGTGGTCAGGTCTAGGGTATATCATTACCCTTTTTAAAATTACTTTATCCAAAGTTTTTTAATGATACTAAATATTCATTCATAAAACTTCAATTATTAGATTATTTTTTTTCTTTGAGTAACTTCAATTATTAGATAGAATAAATCATTACACATGATTCCATAGAATATCAATCAAGCATAACAAACTATTGTAATTTTGGAGTAGAGTAAGCAAAACAGAAACCAATTTTCAAATTCGCCTCAATCAGAAATCTGCCCTCAATTAGGTTTTCTCGGAATTCAAAATTGTAGCTTATGTGATTTTCGTCTGCAATTGAAATTGAAGATGGGCAACATCTCAACGCCATTGTTGTCTTGCTTGATCCTCGTACTGTTCTTCTGCAGCGCAATCCCGTCAACTGCGTTCAGTTCCAGTTCTTCTTCTTCTTCCACAATGCACACCAACAACTGGGCAGTCCTTGTTTGCACCTCCCGCTTCTGGTATTGTACTTCCTTATTTCCATCATTTTCCCCAATTAATCGAGTCTCATCTGTTACCTATTTCATTTTTTTTTTCATTTTTTTCGTAGAAGTAATTGCAGCAAATTTGAAGATCACGAATGATTAAAATTTGATATTCTGGAAGTAGTGAGTTGAGATTGCATCCCAAATATTTGATTTTAGGTTTTAGAGAAAATTAGAAAAGATTTCCAAGTAATTAGGAATAGTAGTTAATTGGAAAAATGAAATTTTAGAAAAAAAGTTTAGTACTTGTGAACTATTATTCTTGTGCGTGTATCATAATTTAATATCAATATGTTCTTGTACTTCAGGTTTAATTACCGACACATGGCTAATACTTTATCCCTGTACAGGTAAACAAGAGTCTCTTTCTTATTCGTATTTACTGTTTTTAGTACATGATTACCCGTTTCAGGGAAAGGGTATTGTTGAAGTTTTGTGCTTGGTTTACGATTATTGAACTTTGTCGTTTAGGACGGTGAAACGATTAGGAATACCTGATGAGAGGATAATTCTTATGTTGGCTGATGATATGGCTTGTAATGCTCGGAACAAGTATCCTGCACAGGTCTTCAACAATGAAAATCACCGCCTCAATTTATATGGAGACAACGTTGAGGTGGGCTCACTTTCTTATTTGATTTAACTTTAAACGTTTATGCATGACACCTAGTACGTTACAAATGGCACTGTTGATATTTTATTTTTTATTTTTTAGAACAAATTGACTGCTTAATTTCTGGGTGTTGTGTTGTTAAAGAGATTACAACAAAGTGCTTTCAGATCTGATATGAATTACCTCAAATACAGATGCGTTTCCATCTGCTATTTCTCATTTCATCACATATTGCCGTACTTTTTAGATCACTAAATTGCTTTATTTATATGTATACCATTATTGTTATTATTGCTCCGGTGCCCCGATTAATGTGATGGTTATTCTTCAGTTTTCAGATGTGAGACGTAAACAGATTTTTTTGTATAATGTGTACACACACGTGTGTGTGTGTGGATTTATCTTATATATGTATATATATATATCAATGTAAATCATATATGTATATAGTAAAATTGCATTATAATTTGTCTACACAGTATTACATAAAGTTTTCAACAGTCACTTTCATGTTTTTTTTTTCTGTGAGAACATCCAGATTGCTTCATTTGATCGACACTCGTTACAGAATACTATGTTGGCTCTAAATTATACTACCTATATGTTTCCATATTGGATCAACAAAATGCGAGTGCTTAACCTGGAAGCTATGTGAAATTTTAATTATGGCTGTTAATTTGATTCAGGTTTTCACGTGTTTTGTGGTCTAGATAGTTTCTAATTATGCTATGCTCCAAGTTAGGTTGACTACAGAGGTTATGAAGTGACTGTTGAAAACTTTATGAGGGTATTGACTGGCCGTCATGAAACAGCTGTCCCAAGGTCGAAACGACTTTTGAGTGACGAAGGTAGTCATATACTTCTTTACATGACTGGGCATGGGGGCGATGAATTTCTTAAATTTCAAGACTCGGAGGAGCTTCAGAGCCATGACTTAGCTGATGCTGTCAAACAAATGAAAGAGAAGCGCAGGTAAAGTTTGTCTACCTTATCATATATTTTCGTTTAATCATTTTTCTGCGTGTTAACGTAAATGAACCAGTAAAATCAATTTTTTGTTTTATTAGAAGTTACTGTGAAAACCTTATTTTTCTTATTTATATCAGATTTAAGGAGCTACTGATAATGGTAGATACTTGCCAAGCCGCCACTCTTTTTTCTCAAGTGAGTAATCATTCTGTTCTTATTGACATGAGAGATCTGACACACACTCTCTCTCTCTCTCTCTCTCTCTCTCTCTCTCTCTCTCTCTCTCTCTCTCTCTCTCTCTCTCTCTCATTGTATCTTTCACATTTTCATATCACCAATCATTCTATTGAACTTCTAAATAACGTTTCCATAAGTTTCCATAAACTTCTTGCTTTGCTTGGTAAGTCAAATGGATTTGATCTAGCTTTTCGTCATAAAAAGCAAACAAAGTTTCATTTCCAAGAAAGCAGAAAAATATTTCCATTCTCATTCAGCTTTTCCATACACTTATCTATCTTGTTCACGTAAGTTAAATAGGGTACTATAGTTTGTATCTTTTCAAAAGTTTCATAGTATGAGTATTTGGTTTTGCGGAGTAAAACAATGTGAAAGAAGTTTCTTCGTTGCATGGTAGCTTCAATCACCTGGTGTTTTGGCTATTGGAAGTAGCAAGAAAGGGGAGAATTCATATTCACATCACTTGGACTCTGATGTAAGTTTATCTTATCCCTATTTTTCTTTCGCTTCCTGTATATTTATTAAATATCGATATTTATTGGACATTGTAGCTTGTTGCAATCATGTTTCTTCCTCCAGCCTTCAATTTGGTTTTTTAAATGTTTTCCGTCTGATGTTTCTATACAGGTTGGTGTATCTGTTGTTGACCGGTTCACGTTTTATACTCTTGCCTTCTTTGAGAGGTTAAATATGTACGATAATGCCTCATTAAACAGGTACACGGAATAAAAACTTCATTATCAATGGTTTCAAGTCTTTGCGTTAATATGAACTTTCACTTCTGTAATGCACTTTTTATCACTCTAAGCATTGCCTTTTATTATAGATGCCTTATAGTGTGTGTAAATTACTAATTAGTGTTTACGTTCAAGATCTGTACTTCTCTTTTTCTGTGCTGAGCAGACTAAGAGAAATGGAAACGGAAATGCCAATGAAATATGCATCACGAGCCACTTGATCATCTAAATAAATTAATTAATTTTATACGAAATTGCTGAAGCAAATTATAACAATATTTCTACATATAAGATGAATTGTATGTTTCTGTATGGAGATTCTGGATAAGTGATTTTTAAACTTTAGGATGAACCTAGACTCATCTCATTATGGAAGAATATAAGGGGGAGATAGTCGTACCTTTGATGAGAAAATAATTCATAATTCGAATATTTCCTAATATTTTCCTTCTTTTCGTAGTCGTTATCGTAATTCTTGAGTTGCCCATTGTTTTGCAGTCTTTTCAACTCCTATAATCCAAATATGCTGTTGTCAACTGCGTACTATCGAACTGATCTATACCAACGACTGTTGGAGGAGGTATGTAAATTCCTGGAACTTGTTATATTAACCTTCCAAAATTACATGTGGAAAACATTGCTTTCGTTACATGTTTTCTTGGAGATGAAATACCCGTTTAGATTAAAAAAAAATTGACTTCATAGTATGCCTCTCCTGCTAATTTAGGTACCTGTGACCAACTTTTTCGGTTCAGTCATGGAAACAATCCATACCGATTCACCTTATCGAGCCTTGTCAAGCATAAACTCAAGAAAATCAAAAATCGAGATGCGTTTGGATCAAACAAGCAGGGGTGGACAAAGAATACTAGAAAGTTCAGATGTTCCACAAGAATCAACCGATTCTGACACTAGAGTGAGTACTTCATATCCTTGAGAAAAAAAGACGATATTTACTTAAATAATTTCTTACTAGCTGTTGAATATAAGAAGGATTTTGTACTGCAGGATAAACAAGTCAGTTTTCCATTTACACACACGTGGAATACTATTCTTTGGAGGATAGAAAACATGAAGGAAATGAATTACTTGGTTAACTACGGCTTGGCACTTATGTTCCCAATTGTGTCTTTTTCCACTTGGCTTTCCCGCTGAAAGGTAATTTATGAATAATGCTATATTCTAGTAATTTATGTCTTTTCCTTGTTCTTATTTTTTTTTTTACTTTTTCTTCTTATAGTTACTTTCGATCAGTAAAGCAAATAGTTTTGGTTCGCATCGAAGGTTTATTTGGTTTGTTAGCTAGTGTGGCACTTTGGAATTAGTAAATAGTAGTTGGGTAAATTCCACTTTTCCCCCTTGTACTTTGGCTCGGTATCACTTTACCCCTTTCTACTCTCAATTGCATCGATTTGCCCCCTGCACTTGAAAATTTGTCTCAATGTGGCCTTCGTTGTTAGTTGTCACACATTTGACCTTAACACCGTTTGATCTAAGCTCTGAAATTACAAAAACGCCACCTCTCACAGTTTACATAATTATTAAAAAAAAAAAATCAAGACAACGAGAAAATATAGTCCACGACATCAGCCACAATTTATTTTTAATTTTTTAAATTTTTTTAATAATAACTGGGAGGGGTGGCTTTTTTGTAATTTTCAGACTTAGATCAAACGGTGTTAAGGTCAAAGGTCCGAAAACTAACGGCGACTCGGCGAGGGCCTAAAGTGATATCGAGCCAAAGTACAAGGGGGAAAGTGAAATTTACCCATATTAGTTCAATATGAAATTATGAGTTTAGGTTGAGCATAATTTTGAGTTGAGTCAAATGGTAACCTTGCATAGGAGCCTCCGTATATTTGTACTGGTTCAAGTTAAAAATACGTATTCGTCAGCACATGAATGACAGATAGAATATATATATATATATATATATATATATATATATATATATATATATATATATAAATCTACTGCAATTCTATTTTTTTTGCAAGGGCATCTCTGTGTTTCTGTTTTACCTGTCTTGTTCTTTTTCCAAGCTACGTCATAAATTGTCGACCTTTTTTCATCTGGATATGTCTTAATGTTGAACTTTTTTGGACAGCGATTATGGTATGACATGTGTCTGATTTTTTGAACACCTGTTATTGATTTTCAAAATTGTCTTGCGCTGCATTTCGACTTATGCATGTAAACAAAACAATATATTTCTTCGGATTTGATGTTCATTTTATTCTTTTGTCATGAAAACTCAAATATGGGTTTGGTTTTTTTTTTTTTTTTTAAAGAGAAAAATAAGGTTAGGGTCTCGTTAATCTGATTGAACACAGCCAGTCAATCCGATTCCGGTTACACCAGTACTCTAAATATCATTGATGTTCCCACTGTTTTATGTGAATCTTTACTGTATTACCCGCTTTGAGAAAGCTTAATTCTTCAAATTGGAAATGCAGGAAACTTACAAGAATGTCCAGATGGATCGACGTCTTTGTGCATAATCAGAAAATTGATCAAATCATGAATCAACGGCCTTGAGCTTCTCTCTTGCATTGCTAGTATCGTTGCATGGTCTAACTTTACCTCACTGTTTGTTTGTAACGGAGCTTCATCGATTATATTCACTTCTCCGGCCTCCTCTTAGATAGTGAAATTACAGAGACTCGGAAAAAAAAAAGTTATTCAGACCATCTTAGATGGTTCTATTATTATTGTTAGTTAGATTTCCGATGAAAATTGATGACATCATCAAAAATGTATTTCTTTTGTAACCTCAACGGATTGGTCGTAATTTGCCCAATTAAAATATTTAAATATTCTAACATTTATTCATGAATAGAAAATCATCATATAACCCTTCTTCACATGAATTTGACATTTTGTGGTAATTATTTTTAGGAGAAACTACGCATAAATCCCTAATGCAAAACATAAATCCCCAATGCAAAGCATAAAATGCATCAGTCCCTAGGTAGTTTCCTCAGATTAGTCCCTATTCATGCGCCTAACATACAGATCAGTCCCTAATGAAATGTGCAAATATTAAAATACCTTTTACTTTATATTAATTTTACATAATTTATTGAAAACCTCCAACGCGCTGTTTGTGTTACACGCTCTTTGCCCGTTGCATTTCAAAAATCAAACAACAAGAAGGGAGCTAAAAAGGCGCAAGAAAAAAAACCACAGTAACCGTTCATGCTCATTTCCAGGCAAAGAAGAAATAAATAACAAAGAACAACGAAGCAACAAAGAACAAAGACGCAAAAAAATAAAGGGAAAAAAATATTAAACAAACCCATTTCCAAACAATGGCGAAGAGAAGGGGCAATAAACAACAAGGTTTGATTTTTTGTTTTCATTGTCTTGGAAACAGACCCATTTGTGTGTTGCTTAAGTTTGCAAAAACGTTTATTTGATATAGGATATAGGAAAGATGCTTATTGTATTATTCGTGGTGGTTCTGTAGTATATGTCAAATGCAATAATGGTATTGATAGTGCATTTAGATGGTATTAACACACGGTACTGGAAGTACTGTCCCAAAAAGCATTTTAGTCCAAACAAGGGTTTGAGGTATGGTGTTTGATGGTTCTGTAGTATATGTCATATGCAATAATGGTATTGCTAGTGCCTTTGGATGGTATTGACACGGGGTACTGGAAGTATAATGTTTGATGGTTATGTAGTAGGGGTGAGCAAGTCAGACCCATCAACTCGCTACACCCATCAAACCCGTGAAAAACTGCCCTGTTGGGACCGGACGGATAGATCCATCCATAGGATTGGGTCCTAAAATGGTGAAGACCCTTGGGCTTGGGTCTAAGACGGGTTCAATTTTTTTTAATTTTCGTGAAACCCGTCCGGCCCCGCCATACAAAACGACGTCGTTTTGTTTATATTATATAGTATAATAAATTAAAAATATTAATGAATAAATAAAGTATCTCTAGTATATCAAATACATAAATAAACTAAACTATAATTGTGGAAGTAATTCCTATAAAGATTATGAACATCTCTAAGAAAATGTAGGGAAAAATATATATATATATACAATAATCAACACACGGCAAAAAAAAGAAGGAAGAAAATGGTGTTGAATGGAGCTGAGCGGCTTTGGTTATGCTTGAAAATGCTATATTTATTTTATTTAAAACTTATAAATCATATAAAAAAAAGGGCAAATTACGGCCACCCCCTAAGCTATGGTCAAATTACGAAAACCCCCCTCCTGTTTGGGTAATTACAGCCACCCCTCAACTATATATTTATCTTACGAAAAGACCCCTCCAGACAGGGGCGAGTCCACCCAAGGGCTAGGGTGGACTCAAGCCCCCCCTCACTTTTCAAATTTTTTCCATTATATATATATATATATATATATATC